AAAAAAAAAAAAAAGGAAAAAAGCCTCCTTTCCAGCACCCAATGTCCACTGGGCTTGGAGGGGCGGAGCCAGGGCCAGCCCTCTAGGAGAAGGTGTAGGAGTAGAAGGCAACGGCATTGGCAGAGTAGTCCATGGGGAGGAGGTGCCCGATGTGCCTGGCCCCGAGGCTGGCCCCACCTAGGGCAGAGGAGTGTTGCAGCTTCATCAGGGTGAAGCTGGAGAAGGAGTTCTGGGCCTGGATCTCTCGGCCCTGGGTCAGCGCCAGAAGGAAACCTGAAGGGAAAGAGGGCAGAGGGCGGAGGTGAGAGCAGACCAGCACCCTGTGGTCGAGACCAGGAGAAGGTGGGACAAAGGGAGGGAAAGGAGAGGCCCAAGCCCTGAGGCATTCCTGTGCAGGTCCTCGAGCGGCCCACATGCCAAATCCCTAACAGGCAGGGCAGCGGGACATGAGCCCAGTAAGGGCTGTGGGGTACTGGAGCCTGCAGCCACCAGGCACCCAATGCCGGGAACTCCAAGGAAGCCGTGGGGCCCTCCAACTACTTCAGAATGTCTAATGAAAGCACACAGCCACCTGAACCAACGCTGCAAGGGCAAAGAAGACACCTTTTCTCCTTCTGGCTGCAACTGTGTTGACTAGAGATGTCACCACATGCAGGTGAGAAGCCCTCATTTCAAGGGAGATCTTTCACCAATTTTTAAGAAATGGTGCATAGCTGATAAATTCTTTAAAAAGAACATATTTTTAAGAGTTCAAGGAAGCTGAGTGAGACCCAGTAAAAGGGCTCCCTGGCAGACTGAAGGTGGAGGGCTATGGCCTGTCCAGGCCTCAGGGCCCAGGTCCCAAGTCTTCCCCAGGGCAGGCAGCTTTCCCAGATACCCCCCCTCCACCGCCCACCCCAGGCTCACCTTCCCTCAGCAGCTCCCAGCTCTTCCACACAGAGCCCACACACAGGATGGGGAGGCCCATCTCCCCCTGGAACAAGACCTGGCGGAGAGCAGAAGTGGACACTGGGGGTGACCAAACCTCTCCAGCGCTGAAGTGGGTACTTTCTTAAGACCAGCCCACCCGATCCCTGTTACCCTCCCTCTAGCCAAGGTAGATTGAAGAAAAGGGAGATTCATAAAGCCAAGGGAGAGAACGGAAAGGAAAAAGGGTGAAGCAACAATACAGAGGAAGGAAAGAGAAGGGAGGGAAGTGGACAGAAACGTGTACCACGTTAAAGCAATTTACTCTATAGAAATGCAGGCCGCGGGCCAGCCACAGAGGGGAGGCACTGGACCCCAGAACTTTTCTGTTTTAGAGACTTTATACAGTTTTTCTCACACCCTAAGTTCATTTAAAACTGTGCCCCCTTTATAGAGTTTGATGGGAGAGTCTCATCCCCGAGGGGAAAGAGCCAAATCTGGCCTAGCAGCATCCAGGTTTCCTTTCCACCTCGACTCACCGGGTCAATCTCAGGCAACACTGCCACCACGTGTCTGCCCAGCATCTCCCCAGCCTTCCTGAAGATAAACCGGGAGAGGGCATCTCCCTGCTGGGCACCTGCGGGGGGGGGGGGTGTATTGGTGAGTACTTAGGGAGCTGCCTGTCCTCTGCTATTCCCTCTGTTGCAGGGTAGAAACAGGAGGAGCACCTATAGCTAGCAAAGGTAGGAATGGATGCCCACCTCAAGCCTCCAAAGCAGTCTCTCCATCCTTACTGCCCCGCCCCCACCAGGTACTCCCAGCAGAGGAGGGATGTCCTGTACCGAGGCGGCTCATTCCAGGCACAGGAGAGCGGCCACCCCCACTAGAGAAGCACAGTAGCATCTGGTATGTACTCCAGCTTACACAGGGTTACCGAGTCTGTTCCTGAAGGTCTCCCACCTCTGCGGACCCTACTTGAGCAGCTGGCTGGTGTTCCTACCCCACCCCCCATCCAACAGTATGCTGTCGGTCCGCCCCTCCCTAGCTTTGCTCTGAAAGGACCTCAGTCCAGCAAGATCTAAGAGGGGCCTCCAAATGAAGGGAGTATGAACCTTACAGTGGAGAAACAGCACTGTGCAGACAAGCAAGCCCTACGGTTTAGCTTCTCTTGACCCACAACCCACCACGCCGCACCTCTCTACGATCTCCTAGCTCTTCGGGTATCATTAGTTTGTTTTTTTATCTCTTTTAATTACAGATTTCCCCAAAGGACAATTGCTTCAGAAATTTCTCAGAAACAGACATACAACCTGCATAAGCCATGACAACTGTCAAGAAGAGAAACATAGATAATATAAAACAATTGTCAATACAAGCCACATATCCTTCTGGCTCCACCCCAAGGCCTATCAGTACCAAGGTACAAAGAACTGAAGTCACTTGGTCAATGGGTAATTAGCTTCCGGTTCCCATATGAACCCCATTCCATCCCCCAATTAGGGAAGTCTTTGGGGGAACAAAACCAAATAAAACCCTGCCCCCCACCCCCACCGTACCTTCTGCAATTTTCTGGCAAAACCCAGCAAACCGGCATTTATCAAAGTCCCTATACAGGTGGGTGAGGATTCCTAGCCGATCTGGCACCTGAGAGGCAGAAAGGGCACAGAGAGTCATCAGAAGCAAAGGAAAATGTGCAGTCTGCCCACCCAAGTTGATCTTCCTGATGTCTCTGTTTGAAAAGCTGGAATAATGTTTGTTTTTTTAAGTTCTAGAGAACACAGGATTTGAGATTTCTCATTTGAGGGAAGTTCTTTGTTTTCCCCACATGGATTCCATCTCTCCTTACAGATTAGCTTGGATACACACAGCACAGATCTATACGCACCAAAGTGCCTTCTGCAGTTCTTTGAGGTGCTCCTGAAAAGATTTCTTTGGTGAAAAGAATCTAAGGACTACTGCACATTGCAGCTCTCAGAGTCACAGTGCGAACTAGCAAATTAAAGGCCCTGTGTAAGTTTATTTCAGAAATCTATGCATTTCTCCCAAACTCCTCTGACCACAGAAGTTCCTTCTCTCACCCTAACAAACGGCCTCTGCAGGTCCTGAGGGATGGGCGCTTCCCCAGAGTACACACTAAAATGGGAGAAGGGGGACTACAATGTGAGCACCTACAGCCATAAGGTAAGCATGTTCTGCACACAATCTCATTTAATCCTTGTAGTGACTTTGTGAGAATGACTAAAGGCTAAAAGAGGGCATGGGAGACCTACTAGCCGGGTTTAGAACCAATCTGTTGGGTCAGGGTAGTTTAACTGCACCTTCCATAGCAGCTGCTATCGAAAGTGATTTCTCTTCCTGGTCCCTCCCTCCTCCTCACCTTGGCCCTGGCCAGAGTTTCTCTGTAATCAATTAATCCCCGAACCTTGAAAATACAGGTCCTACCTTCCAGCATCTCTAATCTCCTTCCTTGAGCCCGTCCCCAGCCATGTAAGTGGCTCCTGTGCAGAGAGGTCTATCGAATAGACTTATGTTCCTTCTCCTCTCCCCTTTTACCTCGGGTTCAGCTAAAAACAGCTGCTTCCTAGTCCACTACAAATAAGCATGGCCCAGACAGAGGAAAGCCCTGGGTAGGAGGTTATACCTCCCCCAAGAACTCTCCCTGCCCACCTCTTTTTTTTTTTTTATAAGATTTTATTTATTTATTTCAGACAGAGAGAGAGAGCACGAGCGAGGGAAAGGGGCAGAGAGAGAAGCAGGCTTCCCGCTGAGCGGGGAGCCTGATGTAGGGGCTCGATCCCAGAACCCTGGGATCATGACTTGAGCCGAAGGCAGACACTTAACCAACTGAGCTACCCAGGCGCCCACCATGCCCACCTCTGTAACAGGATCTCCTCCCTGACCCATACAGGCCAGAAGCAGCTCACTGACACACCTGTTCAACCTTCACCTGCTGTCTCTGAGTACACTGCCTCCTGATCTCACTCTGCACTTCTCACTCCAGCCTGAAATGGCATCTACCTTCATCTCCCAGCAGGGCCTAGCTGCCCAAGAATGAATTCTAGCTAACCACCTGTCCCCAGCCTGCCCACTCCTCATGCCTGACATCCTCTTGGTACGTATCACCCACATCATTATGAATCCTATCCTCACCTGGAACTTCTCCATCCTCCAGCTCTGACCCACATTCACCCTGACTTCCCTTCGGCTCACCCAGTTCTTCTCCTACATTCACTCCTGCTCAGTATCCCACTGCCCCATCCCAGGTGGGCATGTTTACCAGAGGCAGGGGGAAGTACCTGGAAGTAGTTGAACATCGCCTGTTTGATGTAGCCAATGTCATGAGGAGCCGCCTCTAGGTTGTCAATAGAGTCGAACACTATTTTCACTGCTCGGTGTGCGATCCAGTAGGCTGTGGAGGGCAGAGAGGGCTAAGAAGATGGGCTAATCTCCCTGAGTTCATAGATAAGGAAACTCAGACCTAGACGGGTTAATGACCAGCTTGGGTATTACAGCAAATTAGGTGCCCCAATTTCGACTGTATCTGACCAACCCACAAAGGGAAAGCTAGGGGGAAGACAAGAGGTGAGGCTGGGTCACACCAGCTCCTACCTAAAAATAAAGACAAGGTCAGTCAGCTGTCGCAAAGACCACTGCGGTCACTGCCATGAGCTGGCCCCAAAGGCCCCTATGAAAAGATATACCTGCTACCTATAAAGAGGTCATGCAGGAGGAGTTTCTATGCCCCTTTCCTATTAGCAGACTGGTCCAGCATGTCCTGGCATCTATGGCCTTAACCTTCATAGTGTCAATTCCTCCCCAAGGACTCCAAAAGTCAACACGGGTGAGCAACAACTATTATGCTGAGGCATGAATCTGAAGCTAGATACAAATCACTGCTGCAGACCAAGGGCAGCCACTAGTCTGCCATCTGCATCTCTGTGTTCTCTAAGTCATTAGCCTGGACTCAGAGCAACTTTTCAGGAGCTGTCCCCGGAGAGCCCCAAGGGGTTGGTGGCCAAGGGCAGGGGAGAGGAAGATGGGGAGCGGCAGGAAGGGAAGGGTCCAGGGCCCTAAGCCTCAGAGCCAGGCCCAGCTGCCATGAACTCACCTGAGCCCTCGTCCCCCATCATGTGGCCCCAGCCGCCACAGCCGCTCTCAGAGCCGTCGGGGTTGATGAGCCTGCAGTTGGAACCTGTCCCAGAGATGAGCACGATCCCACCTGGGGAAAGGGCATGGGAGGCTCAGTGTGGCCAAGGCCCTGCATGGAGCACACAGCTTCTGACTGACGAAAGAGGAGAGAAACCAGCCCCGGGATCACCACCCAGTCTTGTAGAGAAAACTGGGCCCAGCCAGTTTCCCGCCTGAAAGTGGAGGGCCTGCGTCTCAAAGAAGCTCCGATCTACACAGAGCCCGTCTCTGGGAGACGAAGAGGAACACGAGCCTGCCCCCTTGCCCAGCTAAGTGACTACCTGCCTTACTGCGTGCCTATTATGAGCCAGGGATTGTGCTAGACTCTGTTCACACAGTGATACTCATTCAACATCCTAAACCACTTTTGGAACTACAACTGCCTCCATTTCATAGAGGAGGGAACTGAAACTCAAGAGTTCCATAACTTCTCCAAGACGGTACTGCTGACAAAATAGGAGCAGAGATTCAAATGCCAATCTCAGGATACGAAGGCCTCTTACACTCGCACAGAGCTCTGCTTGTCTTCTTCTTAGCCCTCAGCTGCCGCCCCAGGCAGCCTCCTCACCGCACGGCCTCTGCAGTGGAGGCTCAGATCTGACTGAGATACTGTTCTGCCCTTGCACCTTCTGTCCAGTCCCTGCTCTGGCAGGGACTTAAGCCAAGAAAAAGAGCAGGGAGAAGGGGGCAGGGTATGCTGGAGGCTGCCTTCCAGGTATTTCGAGACAAGTTCCGCCAGCTGTAACTAAGGGGCTTTCCCAAGAAAACCAGTTCTCAACCTCACCCCGCCCCCGTCCTCACCATCCTGTGTTGCTGTGGCGATGGAGCCCGCGGCGTCGGTGGTGATTAAGTAGCTTTCACTCAGGTGGGGAAATCGGTCCCTCAGCAACTCCGTCAGGATCCTCAGTGCTTCCTCCTGCACCCCACCGCTCAGGGACAGGCCCTAGGCCGCGTGGGATGTGAGTGAGCAGGCAGGGCCCCAGACCCAGCTCCTTTCTCCACCCCCTCCCTGCCTGGTGTCTACCCCTACTCTCCACATCTGGGCATACCCTGCTTATCCAGCTCCAGTCCTCCTTCCGCCCCACCCAGTGACCCACCAGGAGGCTGCTGGCTGCGAGAAGAACCTGGTCTGGGAATGAACCCAGAGTGGGGATTCAATAATGCCAGGTTTGGAGGGCGGGAGGGTCAGCAGTGCCCTCAACGGAAAAGTCAGGCAGAAGAGCAAGCGGAGGAGGTGGGCTTGGTGTGGAGGAGGGGGCTTCACCATGCCTACAGAACCTCTCACTGAGGCTACGGCCAGGGGGTAGTCGGAGCTACAGCAGCTTGAGAGAAACGTCTTAGCGGAGACTCACAGCTGACGTTTAACGAGTGCTTTATAGGTCAGGCTCTACGCTACGCACTTTGGGATGTACCACGTCATTATTCTTTTCCAACAATTGAGGTAGCTACCGTTACTTGCATTTCCCTAATGAGACAGAGGCTTGGAGGAGGTAAGTAGCCTGCTAAGGTCTCGCAGATATTGAGTGACAAAACTGGGATTCAAACCAGGGTCTCACTGGCTCTCCAAAGCCCTGGGCTCTTCCCACCCTTGTGGCTTGTGGGTGACAACTGAAGCCATTAGAATGGGTGAGAATATATGTTTCTAGACCAGAGACTAAGCCCTCAAGGCCTTTCACTCTGCAGTCATCAGACTCATCTGGTCAAAATGGCTGTCTGTGTTTCTGCACCTTAATTCCCAGGCTCTACCCCAGACTCACCAAGCTTCGTAGAGGGACCAGAGGATCCACCCCTGCTTCCAGTTTGGCCCTGTTCACCATCTCGTTGATCCTCTCCACACACTTGTCTGTCCCGATTAGCTGGCCCCAATCAAGGGAAAGAGGAGTTACACAGGCTTGCATGACCTGTGTTGCCCCAACAGGCTGCTATACTCGGCCCCAGCCACCAACTTAATGGGAGTTACAGAGAATAAAACCACAACCAAACCCACTGGTCTCTCAGTGGGGTCTTTACCCAGTGGTTTGTGCTGAGTCCATCTGCTTCTGCCAGGATCTGCCCATCCTCTGAGAGTAAAAGAACCTTGGATCGTGAGCCTCCCCTACAGAACACAAGGGGGCACTCAGTCTTGCTCAGACAAACCTGCAGGGACAGCTAAGTTTGTGCAGTCCTTGTCACAAGCAGAGCCCAGGGCCATGGTGACAGCTTTGGCAAACCCAATTTCCATTCTCAAGCCCACTTCTGTGGTCTGGTTTGATGTGCTACCGGACTGAAATGTTGCTCCTGCTCAGCTTTCCTCGGGGATGTCCTATTTATCTTGCAAGACCCTACCTCTCTATCACCTAGTCCTTGAAACCCCTGACTCCTGGCCTACCGCCACAGCTCCACTAGTTAAACCACATCAGTGCCCCCACAACTCGTAAAGATTCTGGTAAGAGTGTTTGTTTTTCCGTCTGCCTCTCACTACACTACAAACTCCACGGGGCCAAGCTCCAGATCCTTTATCCATCGTCATGCCTGGCACAGGCCAACACTCAGTAAATGTGACTAAAGGGAGTGGCACATGTCTCTGCTTCTTTCACAATAGCTAAAGGCCACCTTTCAAGATCCAGCTCCAGCTACCAAGTTCTTCAAGACACCCTTGGGAGAAACACTGACCAGAGGGCAGAGAGAGTTTATACCTACTTAAGCAACCAAATGGTGAAATGCTTATTACTGGGGGAAATGGTAGTTTGGAGGGAGGTCTGTGGTGGTGTGATGTATGTTTCTTCATTGATCAGAACTCTTGCGAATATCAAAAGAGGACACTAAAGACCTGCTGATCAAACTCAAAGATGACAAGAAGTTTCAAGGGGTAGTTAATGCACGAGGCAACCGATTCAATGTCCATAAGCATCTCTTGACAACCTAGAAAAATAGGTCGTATCTTACACATGAATATAACGGACAAGCGCAAGCTCCTGTACTGATTTTTAAAAAGTGCAACAGACACAGGACGGGTGAGATCAAACTTAACAAAAGAAAAAAGACATGGGGGTCTGTGAGTCAGCGCGGCACACAAGTAAAACCAATCTCAGATTCAAAAGTAAGTGCCTGGGCTGTGACAACAGCCACCCTCTCTTATGGCCAGATGTGACACAGAATGACAGAGGGTTCGATCTGGAATGCTGACAAGAACGGGGGTGTCCAGGCATCAGGACAGACTAGCACTTTGGCTGGCAGCTATTCTAGCTACCAGACCCCTCTGGCAAAGGTCTTTGTCCCCGGCTTCCACCACACTCCCACTCCCCACCCCGAGTCCAGCAACCTGACACCTGTTCAGCTAAACTCTCTCCGGGATGCAGAATGAGGAAGAGGAGCTTCTAGATCTAGCGGCGGACGGTGGAGTGGGTCGTTGGTGGGAGAGAGGGGTGTGGTTCCGCCGTGAAACATAAAAGACCCCCCGCCCCGGGTGTGGCTGTACACACGCAGAGTCCCCGCAAGCGCTCGGGCACTGCCGCGCGTGCACACACCCCTCCTCCGCAAGACCCCGCAGCTCAGAAGCCCAAAGTGGCCGTCCCCTAAGGTGGGAGGTCACCAGCCTGCCAGCCTGGCCATAGGCTTCCTTCCTTTCGCCCTCCTGCCGCTTCCAAGCCGCCCCTCCCGGGTTCCCTCGGCTGAGCCGCACTCACCCCTCCACACCCCCGTACAGTGCGGCCATGGCCGTGTTTCCGCCGCCGCAGATCCCGCAGTTTGCTTCTCTCCCGCCCGCTCGGCGCCGCCCCCCGGTCACATGAACGCCCGCGCCGTCCCGCTGACTCGCGACAGCGTGTGCGCGGGGCGGGGCGCCGCTAGACCCAGGCTGGGGCTGAGCGAGACTCGCGGGTGGGCGAGCGCGGTCCTCAACGGCTCCTCCGGACTCCGGCCGGACGCCTCCCCACCTCCTGGACCTGCCTCCGGAGATGGATACCCGAGCCAAGCCGAGGAGCCAGAGAGGGGTGTCGGCTCCCACCCACTGGACAAGTTCCTGCCCTGCCCAAACCCACCAGCGCCCGGAAGTTGCTGACAGCTCCGTCCCCCGCGGGCGCACTGCTTATGAGCCACGTAGACTGAGGGTGACCCGCGCGGAGAGGCGCCCCCGGGCAGTCCGGGGCAAGGGTATGGGGGGCACCTTAAAAATGAGGCTGTGCAGGCCGCCTGGGCGGCTCCATCGGCTAAGGGTCTGCCTTCGCCTCACGTCATGCTCCCAGGGTCCTGGGATCCCGCTCCACATCGGGCTCCTTGCTCGGTGGGGAGCTAGCTTCTCCCTCCCGCTTCTCCTGCTTATGCTCTCTCTCTCTGTCAAATAAATAAAATCTTTAAAAAAAATTAGACTGCCCAAACCAGCACCTGCCTGGCCATAGCAAAAGTCATACTTTTGTGTACACAAACACCACGCAGACTTCGCGCTGCACTTGTGCCGAGTATGGGCACAACTAGCAGCAACTAGAATTGGGCCAGCAAAGGAGAAAAGCCCTGAGGCTGTCCTTGCAACCAGAGAAGGGGGCGGTCAGCTTTTAGCACACGCTCAGTTCAATTCTTTGTGCAGGGTATCCGCAGGGACATAGACTAGAAACCTTTTGTTGCCCTCCACCCACCATCCCACTCGCCTTCCACGGGATTGGGAAAAGGGAAAGGGAGCGAGAAGGGGGGGGAAATACTAGCCAGGGTCCGGAACCAGGCGGGGGTTCCTGTGAGCCTCCGTGGGTTGCTCCAGGCTGTTGCCGGCCCACGGTGGGGCAGCTTGTCAGGCCAGGAGGGAGGTCAGCTGCCCTTGGCATCTCTTCAGGAACTTCAGCCTTCGGAACGAGTCCTTCACAGGGCAGTTCTCAAACTGGCCTGGTCCCTGCTCTGCCCGGTCCCCATCCCTGGAGGTACCTTCTGTCTTATTTTAGAGACACCCTGCACTAGTAGCTTCTTTCCCTGATAGCCAATTGGGTCTGGTTATGTTTTGGTGTGAACCTTTGGCATATATGTGCTCTTTGAGACTGGAAGAGAGGAGTCTTTACCACATGACTTACTTATTTGGGACGCTGAAACACTACAATGTAACCCTCAAGAACAGTTGAAAAGTAAATCACTACAGTCATAGAGAGAGAGGGGCAGGATTTTTTTTTTTTTTTTTTAATGCCCGCCTGTGTCATTTACATCTGCAGAACATCTGAGCTGGAAGGTGCTTAATCCAACACACGGTTTTAGAATAATGGAGCTCATAGATTCTGGTGGGCTTAAACTGGGCAGGATTTTTAAAGGCGATTGTAGGTGGATTTTGAAAGGACTGTGCCTTTTTGCACACTAGGGCAGTGAGCCCTGGGACCTGTATGTATGGTAGTTTCCCTTTGTACTGCTTGTTTAGAAAAGGAAGCAAAAGAGAAAGTGCCCAGATTCAAAGACAAGGACTGAGTTCACCATTTGCTAGCCGAGGACCTTGGGTGAATTATACACAGTCTCTGCTGCAGCTGCTTCTTATCTACAAAATGGAAATGATAAACGTCCACCTACCCAGACTAACACAGGATTTAAATATCATAAGAATTTTGGAAACCTTAAACTTGCTGCACAGATTGTAACTAATTTTCACTTACGTTACTAATTACCCTGTGCTGTCCAGCACAGTAGCCACATGGGACTACTGAACACTTGAAATGTGGCTAGCACACTTGAGCTTGTAAAACACAGGACTTTAGCAAATAGCAAAATAAGCTAACAGCAGCCTTGAAAACTCCCTGAACGGACAAAATCAGTCTAGTCATACACACAAGGCTTAACTTAGCTTCTTTTGCAAGACTAACTTGACCTGGGTTATTTGCTGCTTAGGCCTCTAGAAATCATAAGCACAACTTGAACTGTCCCAAGGTTCATAAGAGGTAACCACTGGCCATTTCCCTATCATTTAAGAAAATTTTAATACTGTAACTGTACAGGCTGCTTTTAGGCAAATGGGCTTGAGCAATGGTATGAAGAAAGGGCCCACAGCGACCACTTGGCTGAAGACAGACAGGCTGACCATAGGCCGTAACTGACCAATGAGCTACTTAAAAGCAGGCACAGTTACCAAAAAGGGGAGAATTCCGTATGTTGCCATACCTCTTCAACTTCCCTCTTTAAAAACAGTCCCAACTCACTGCCTCACTGCAGACAGCCTCCCCTCTGCTGTCCTGCTGCCGTTCCCTTGCGGTGTATTCAATATCTGCCACAGGTGAGTTCCTTCACGTCCCTCCCAACCAGCTTCCACCGGATCCTCACCCGCCATCTGATTGAGAGATACCCTATTTAGACACCACAATAACCAATCGCAGTAAAGAATAAACAGTCACAGTCTTGTCACTAAATAAGCTGTTTTATAACGATATTATCTCTGAGCCTCATTCCATGTTTTGGCTTGAGTGCTCCTGGTTTGCAAACTGTACTTTTGGTGTGTGCGCAGTAAACTTGCATTAATTACTACTTCAGTGATTCATTGGTTTTACTTCTGTTATTTCTGAACTTTTAACAGTGTTGTCCATTATAGTTCTCTAAAGCTCTTTCATGTACTTTTATCTTGTTTGATTATTTTTTTAAAGATTTCATTTATTTATTTTTGAAAGGTGGGGAGGGGCAAAGGAAGAGAGAGAATCCCAAGCCAACTCCTCCCCAAGCACAGAGCCCAAGGAGGGGCTCCATCTCACAGCCCTGAGATCGTGACCTGAGCCAAAACCAAGAGTTGGGCACTCAACCAACCAAGCCACCCAGGTGCTCCTTGTTTGATTATTTTAACAACCCCATGAAAATATCAGAGATTTTTAACCACTTATTACAGGTGAGGAAGCTGAGGCTCTGAAACCAAAGCAATTAGCCTAGGCTCACACAGATACATGTTCCTCCCTGTGGCTGTGCTAGGTATAGGAGGAAATAAAGATGTTGCAATACATACAAGGGTTAACCTCTACTTAGCTTTGTAGAAGTTTAATAGCCCCTTTCACTGGGCTTGCAACATCCCAACAGCTGCCTCTGGGATGCTCATGTGGTTGGTAAAGTCCTCTTCTGCGAGTCACAGTCTTGTTCTTTGTCCCCGTGGCTCCAGGGAGGCCAGATTTCCACTGGGGGCGGGGCAGGCAAGCGGAACAGCAGGAAAATACCTTCCCTCCCAAATCCACTTGACTGTGGGTCAGAGAACTTTGGGACCCAAGGTCTTCAACAGGTTATGTTGACTTGGTTCATGAAAGCACAACCACATCTGTTTTTGCTCATTGTATTTCCAGGGCTAACCTCGGTCCAGGCACATGAGAGGAGGTCCATAAATAGTTTTGGGGAGTGCTTATAAACCATAAAGCACTGTATCACAGTCATGAGAGGTAGTAAATGCCCCACCGTGAACTAAAGAGAGGAGCAAGCAGATTCTGTAGCAGAGACAATTTGCAGAACAGATTTGGAGAAAACAGTAGGGAAACTGGCCTGGGGAAGCAAGAGTTGGAGAAGTAATCAAGGGGCCTCAAAAGGATCCAGCCCTAATCTGTCCTAAATTGGGAAGTTGCCAGCACAAGGGTTACCTCAGCACTGTGCTTAGGATTATTAATCTGGGAGGTTCCTTATAGCAGGACAAATGGGAGGGAAGAGCCTGGAGCAGGGAGACATTCAGAAGGCCGGGGCAATGGCGCTGGCAAGAATGAAATGAACAAGGAAGTGATGAGGGATAGGGCATAGCAGAAGTCAGGAGGAGGGATCCAAGTCGGGGGTCGTGCTGACCTCTCCCTCTATTGATCTGGGATGAGGGCAGAGACAGAAGCTGGAGCTGACTTTCCCACAGTGAAAGAGAGAGGGGTAAGGAGCTGCCTTACTAAAGGTGGAGGTGGGACTCCCGAGCTGGTAGCTGGAAGGCAAGAGGAGGGCTCTTCCAGACCTGCAGGACAGCCAGGAATCAGCCAGGAGATGCGAGGAGGGGTGTGGTGGACAGATTGCAGAAACAAGTACAGACGGCTGACTATAAATATAAAAAGTCTGATCGCCTAGTCTCCTGCCCCTCGATCTGAAAGTGTGCGGTCTTAGGCCAGGGCAGCGACCCCAGAAAATTAGGTTGGTTTATCCCCCTTCCTGAGTGTGGGAGTATCTATGTGCGGTTTCCTTGCATGTTTTGGCTTATGTGTATCCATATGTAGATGTGGATATGCTTATTTATATATTTGAACTTGTATAGGTTTCTAAGTGACTAATGTGTTTACAAGCACATGTATTTGAGATAATATCTTTATGCATTTTTCTGTGCATAGTGTATGTACAGAACTGGAATTAGAATTTCAGTTCTTCAAGGAACCTAAGCAATCCTGGATATTTAGGCACCTGTGAGCAGATGCACAGATGTGTAAATGTAACTTGACAGTGTGATGCTGGAACAGGCTCCCTAGCTCACAAAGAACAAGCTGTGCACATCTTTCTAACTTTCACTAGGTGACATCGCATTGCAGCTCAAAATTGCCATGGTGGGAATATTTACAACACAGAAACCAGTAACTGCTCTAAATCAGGTGGTTGTTGTCTTCCAGAAAGTTGGCTGTTAAACGTTTACCAGCACACACTGGGCACACATGTTTTATGTGTGTGAGACGTCCTTGCTCCGGGTGTATCAGTGTACAAGTGCATATATGAAAATGTGCACCTGTGTCGTGGGTCCACTCTTTCATAGATCACAAACTCAGGGGTGCAAACCTCCAACTATTTTCCTACAGCTGAGCTGAATTTCTATCTCAATCCTCT